AAAAAAAAAAAAAAAAAAAAAAAAAAAAAAGAAGAACATCTCAAATGATACAAATCTACTTTTATTATTAACGGTTCAATACACCTAATCTTACATTATTTGTTTTTTTTTTTTTAATTTGGTCCTATTTTTTCTATAAATATTAATGTATATCAAAAGACTTTTTAGATGCTAAAAATTTTGTCAAAATAGTCTATATGGTTTAAGAACACTAATAATATGTTGGTTTAAAGGAAATGGAGAAGGAAAAGAGGAAATAAGTTTTTTAACTAATTAAATTATAGTATTTTTAAATATTACAGTATGATTAATCAAAAAATACATTCCTCCACTCTTTTTTGTTTCTTCTTTCACTACCCACGTGAGAAAGTGCAACCAAAGGACGGAAAAATACAAATAGCATAACGTCAAATGCATTGGGTTGTTAATGATAAAGACTAATTTGCAATTTTTTAAAGAATTTGAAGGTTAATTTGCATTATTTGAGGGGTTTGAGAATATATTCGTCCAATTTTTAATTTAGGGCTTACATGTCAACTTTGGGTAAATATGGAAGCTTAGGGGGTGTTTGATATACTCAAGAATTTCTGGAAATAGCCTGCAAGTTTATCATGGGTAAAAATTTTTTGTGTTTGGTGTTTTTCACCCTTAAACTTTGCTTCCTGAGTAAAAAAAACAAGGCCTTGGCTTGAATTCTTTTTCTTGATCAACTATATTTTACGTTTTAAATTATTGTATTTTTCTTGATAATTAACTATGTTTTATTTTGTAATAATAACTTAAAATAAAAAAGAAACATAATCAACTATATCTTTTAGTAGAATCAATTATAATTACTAAAAAGAAATTTTCTCAAAAATCACCAAATACAAGAATCTCACATAAACAATCCATTTAGCAAACCCTATTTACACTTTACACAATTTTTTTATAGTAAATATCGTAAATTATTTTTTATCTTCATCAATACTTTTTACTATTTAAAACTCATGAAAAACCTAAAAATTTATAATTAAATTTGTTATTTGTATTTTGATTTTGTGATCAAACACCTATTTATATCATGATTTTACTGATAATTTGATTTTTTTTTTATAAATTTTAAATTATAAAAGATATTAACAAAGATAAAAATTAATTTAAAATATTAATTAAAAAAAAAGTGTATAGTGCAAATAGGTTCGGCTTAAAACAATTCATCCAAAAACACAATCCACCCGTTAAAACAATCCTGCTCGAACCAACAGGCCCCTTAAAGAGAGGTTCAACTGGACACACTGTACATAGGCAGAAGACACGGCCACATACAGTCAAAATACACTATTTAGAAAGATACCATTTTCCCTTTTTCAGAAAACGCTCCGTCGCCATAAATGTCACATACCCTGCTTGCCATTTTCCCGTAAAAAGTCTCGTTTGTTTTGTTGTGAAAACAGAGAGGAACGGAGGAGAGTATAGTTTCCTGCACGTGAAATGGAAGCGATAGATATAAACTCACTGCAACATGCCACCGTCGCGAACGGTGTTTCCTGCTGCAAGACTGGACCTGGGTACGCCACCCCTCTAGAGGCCATGTCTGGTCCTAGAGAGGCTCTTATCTACGTCACTTGCGTCTATTCTGGTAGTTTTTGCTTCTCTTCTCTGAATTATGTTTAATTGAGAATACTTACATATGGATCATATACTTAGGATTTTAAGTACATGTGGTTGATTTTCCAGCTAGATCATTTCTTGCTCTTTATTTCTTGGAATAGTAAATTGAAGAGTAATTTGCTGATCAGATTTTGAAAGCATTGAATATGTACTTCTTTGGAAGAGTGATTTTGGTTCTTGACGGATCTGTTTCTATATCCATTCAGGGACTGGAAGGGAGAAACCTGATTACCTAGGTACTGTGGATGTGGATCCAAGCTCACCTACTTATTCCAAAGTTATCCATAGGCTACCTGTGCCATACTTAGGTGATGAACTACACCATTCAGGGTGGAATTCATGCAGCTCTTGCCATGGGGATCCTTCTGCAACCCGACGTTTCTTGGTCCTGCCTTCCTTGATGTAAGTGATTAGTTTGTTTTCTTAACTCTTTGTCCTAGTTTCCTTTCCCTTTTTTGTCTGGAGGTAGACATTAAAGTTCAGCAGTGATTTGCTTGGCCTGTTTAATTACTACTTCAATTTTCAAACATGAATTCAAAGAAGCATCATGGTACCAATTATGTATATTGGCTGTGTTGATTGTTCCAATTATGTATATTGGCTGTGTTGATTGTTCCAATTATGTATTTGTCCTCAAATTGTTAAGATTTCCAAATCAATTTCTTACAAGTTATTTTTGTTTCTTCCAGATCTGGGCGCATTTATATTATTGACACATTGACAAATCCAAAGGCTCCGTTTTTACATAAAGTTGTTGAGCCCGCAGATGTAATACAGAAAACAGGCCTAGCATATCCACACACATCTCATTGCCTTGCTTCTGGTGATTTATTGATTTCGTGCCTTGGTGATAAAGACGGGAATGCTGAGGGGAATGGATTTCTTTTGCTTGATTCTGAATTCAATGTGAAAGGAAGGTATGACATAAACTGCAATTAATTGATTAAGCACAATGGAAATTGTGTTCCTGTTTTGCAGTTGAAATTGCACCGAACTGCAAAATAAAAGTCATTGGATGGGGGCAGCCCCTAATATCAGGGGCCCATCTGTCCTACACAACACTTTTTTGATTGAAATTTTATGAACAGTTATTACATATAGGAGCAAATGTGAACCAAATGAAGTCATACTTTAATATTTTTAGATGGGAGAAACCAGGTCACAGTCCCCTGTTTGGATATGATTTCTGGTATCAACCTCAGCACAAAACAATGATTAGCACATCATGGGGAGCCCCTGCTGCCTTCACCAAGGGCTTCAACCCTCAGCATGTCTCAGATGGTCTGTATGGAAGGCATCTCTTCGTGTACAGCTGGCCTGATGGTGAACTGAAACAAACATTAGATCTTGGCAAAACAGGACTCATACCACTGGAGGTAATAATTAAAATTGATGTCCTACTTTGGACATAATTTTTGTGTTACTACTTTGATGATCCTAAAGTGCTGTCATTATTCATTCTTAGAACAACACAATTAGCTCGTGAGTTGATTTTATGTTATCCTCATTTATTGTAGATAAGGTTTCTTCATAATCCTTCCAAGGATACAGGATTTGTTGGGTGTGCCTTAACAAGTAACATGGTGCGGTTCTTCAAAACAGCAGATGAATCATGGAGCCATGAGGTATGTGTAAGATAACAATACGTTTTCTCTGTGTACAAACTTGTGTAATAGTTGTTTCCTCCTTCAAGTCTATATGCTCCACAATCATGGTAACTTCCTTGTGACTGCTGCAGGTGGCAATATCAGTGAAGCCACTAAAAGTTCGAAACTGGATTCTTCCTGAAATGCCAGGGCTTATAACTGACTTTTTGATTTCTCTTGATGATCGTTATCTTTACTTTGTGAATTGGCTACATGGAGATATACGACAGTATAACATTAAGGACCCTAAAAATCCAGTCTTGACAGCCCAGGTATGGGTTGGGGGATTGATTCAAAAAGGAAGCTCTGTATTTGCAGTGGAAGAAGATGGCAACACATATCAGCATGATGTTCCTGAGATACAGGTCCCTTCAATTCCCCTTTTACGTTCCTTTAGTTTCCCTTGTACTAAATGTTAACTGGATTTATGTTTCCCTTTACAACAGGGACATCGTCTTAGAGGGGGGCCTCAGATGATCCAATTAAGCTTAGATGGGAAGCGGTTATATGTCACCAACTCTCTCTTCAGTGCATGGGATAATCAGTTCTATCCTGAACTTGCCGAGAAAGGATCTCACATGTTACAGATTGATGTTGACACAGAGAAAGGTGGTCTTGCAATAAACCCAAACTTCTTCGTGGACTTTGGAGCTGAACCAGATGGTCCTTCCTTTGCACACGAGATGAGATACCCAGGTGGTGACTGCACTTCAGATATATGGATTTGAACATATCACAATGTTACTTTCTCTTGTTGTATTCCAGCACTTGTAATCATCTATCCCATCCGTCGATTGCTTGGATGACTTGAATAATCAATAACCATGAGTAGTTAATAAAGAGTTGGATTTGTATGGTTTAAATTGTGTTCAGTTTGGTATTCAACTTACTGCATTCGTGTTTCTTCTGCTTAGTGCTCTGTGCTCAGGCAATTTGGCTAGCTCTTACTATGTTTCTCTTAAATCGTAATCCAAAGAATTAATTTGATTAGTAAGAGCAAATGTCCCATCTTCGGTGACTTTTAACATTTTTAAGAAGTATCACTAATTCTTTGCTAATTTCATGGCCCCGTGACACAAATCTTCTTTGCTAATTTCATTGTCCCGTGACACAAATATTCTTTGCTAATTTCATGATCCCGTGACACAAATAACTTGTCTTTTATTAAGGGTAGAATTTTTTATTGTGATGACTTGACTGCTAGCTGTTAAGTGATTGGTACATTTTTATCTTCTTTTATCCGCCTGAAAATGGCATCACAGTACTTAACAACAAACAACAAGAATCAAACAAATTGTTGATGGATGGGGATTGTTTTTTTTATTTTAAGATTAAGCTGGAATCTTGCTAAAAAGGAAAAACATGAACCTCAAGATTTCAGAATCTCTACCTTACTATTAGATCAAGATTTCATTGGCATTAAGGATTTTTTTTTTTTTTAATTATGAAAACAAATTTTGCTAAGGTCTAGTTAGACTTAAAGCTCTTTAACTACGACCACAAAATATTAAGCAAAGCAATCTACTTAATTTCCTTTATAAAAAGCCAATATCAATGTCCAAGATAAAGACATGCTGCTTGTGATTGCTCTACGAGAGAAGGAAACGAAACTCAGCCCCACAAAGCCATTGGGCACCACATGTATTTGGCCATAGAAGATTCATTAGTAGATAGCAACAAATCAAAAAAGGAAGAGAAAAAAAAACATTGCACACCTCGCGTAAAACAAAGGTTTTCAATGATAAATAGATACCCAAGTGAGAGGAGAAAAGATATTCCTCTCAAAAGTGAAAAATGGAAAGCAAGTTGAAGAGAGCAGATTCCATGCCTCACCGTCTTCAAATGATACTAATGGTGGTGCTGCTGCTGCTGATTCAGGACCTTTGTTGTAACTGCAAAGTTGCTGGTCCAGAGGACGCCTTTCACTATGGAATGTGCAGTGGTTCCATGACAGAGTGCAATGAAGAAAATGAGATGCTCATGGAATCAGAAATCAGCCGGAGGTTTCTTCAACCGCAGAAATATATATCATATGGAGCTCTAAAAAAAGACCAAGCGGTTTGCAATAAACAACCTTACCGTGGAAATTGCATACCTGGACCATCAAACACGTATAACAGGGGGTGCAAAGCAATTTACCATTGCAAAAGTTGACAAGGAAGGTAAGAGAAAAATGTATTCATATAGCTTATGTTTCAACTTATTCTGCCTTGCTGATATGTAAGTGGGTATTCCTCGGCATTCTGCAGTGTTCCTAGTTTTAATAAATGGGTACTATTTTAGTATTCCAAGAACATTCATAACAAGATGTAAGATCATCCTTTTCCCATTTCAATGCAAAAATATTATTGCTCCCTCCAATATTGGGAGGAGAACTAGTAAAATTCTCAATTTGAGCCTCAGACTTGCCGCTCCCAATTACATTTTTTTTTAGCTATAATGGGGAGTGTTATAAAGATGGATACACAGGAGATTCTATGCCTATATACTCCTAACATAGCATTGTTGAGACTTTCTAGATACTTCATTTGGGCTCTCTTCAAAGAAGTGAAGCCCAATGTGAAAATAAGAGAATCCAGAGGCAATGGTGTTAGCAGAAGTATTTGCTATAATTTTTATTGTATTTTATTTTTTTAAAGATTTTAATTGTCATTCATATACTTGTCAGAAAAAAAAAAAAAATTGTCATTTATATACTGTAACAAGGTTTTTTTGGTACAACACATACTGCAAGAAGTTAAATCTGAATTTCTATGTAAAATTTAAAGCAATAATTAACTTGAATTTAACATTATAATTGGAGTTAGGTGAAGTGCGGTGCTCTGCTTATCCCTAGTGCGACTTCCACTCCCTCAGTCCCACTACCACCAGTTAGAGGAAAACAATGTTGTTAGTGCTTTATATTAAGGGAGAAGAAAAGTATAGTAAATGCAAACAAGGAGAAAAATAAAAAATAAAAAGAGAGATCTACCATGAGGCCGATCCTCCTCCATATCAGCTGCCTCCTTTTCTTTACCATCCTTGCCTTTCTCGGTAACTGCAGTTTTTGCTCGTTTGCTGATGCACACACAACCTGCAATGGATCAATAGCAGAGTGCTATGAAGAAGGTGAGATGCTTATGGAATCTGAAATAAGCCGGAGGTTTCTTGAACAGCAGAAATACATATCATATGGAGCACTAGATAAAGACCGACCTGTTTGTGATGGTGAGGGGGGTGAAGCATATAGCAAAGGCGGCTGTCAACCAGGACAGTCCAATCCTCCAGACAGAGGGTGCTCCAAATACTATCAGTGTAGGTCTGGGTGAAGACTGTTATACCTATTTTGCGTTTGCTTAGTGATAATTATAATTCTACTTAAAAGAGTAATAGAAAATTTTTATCTTCATGTTTTGTGCTTGCCTTCTTTATAGGCATATAATGTAATAGTGGGGTGCCTTTCGTTTTTTTTAAATCTCTTTTTCACCTGTATTAAGTTTCGAATTATTTATTTATTTATTATATTTAAAGAATAATATTTTTTAATAAATTTAAACTATAAAAAAATCAAAATATTCTTAATAAATTTTTAATAAAAATATTTAAATAATTTCACATCCTCAACTGTAGACTGAAAAAATCTTTTCTTCTTCTTTTTTTTTATTTTTTTTTATTTTTAGGAAAGGCAATTGAACAAAAACATTTCTGTTATGCTTATATTGTATTAATGGACAAAGATAAAAGAAAGAATAAAATCAGTGACATTACTGCATTAACTTTTCCTTCTCAATTTCTTTGCTGAAATCATCAGAGCAGTACCATCTGAAGTCATTGCAATCCAAATCCAATCAAATGAAAAGGTCCAAGAAAACAAGTTTGTTATATCAAGTGACTGCCAGCTAGAAGGCATGTGCAAATATTAAATTTTGAACTAAATCTTGCCACACAAATTAGTGGCTTATTTATGCAAATAAAATCCATAAGGTCAAGTGTCAGTTATCTTCAATCAATTCCTCTCAGCCAGAACCTTATGATGGTCATCACCAGTCTGTGACATAAGGTAAGGCATCGGTATCAGTTATTTTCAATAATTCCCTTCAGAATTGGGTGATGACCCACTTGTGATAAAGATGGCAATAAGATAAAAGCAAAAGCATGCTCTCTTCAAGAGAGCCATTCACAAAACCTTGGAAAAGTCAGAGAAAAGAAAAGCTGAGTATATGTAACAGAAATTGTTCGGGTGATCCACTTAAAATGAATAAAACTCTTTTATAGGTCAACTATCCTGCTTTATGGTTTAGTTTTAGGAAAAAAGTGGATAAAGAGAAACAAAACCCAAGTTGAAAGCACAGCCATAATGCTGCTGAAAAGACAATCTTAATATGAAGAAATGTCACCCTCATTTATTAGTTATGGTTGTGGTCACATAATTTATTTATTTTTTATTAATTAATTTATAATTTTTTTAATAGTAAATTACAATATCTAAAAATATTTATTTATAAATTAATTTTAATATATTAAATACTCACTCTATCTTAGAATAATAGACTCTTCTTTTTTTTATTTTTATCATGAAATTATAGATTTGAAGACAATTTTTATTTTTATCTATTTTACCTTTAAAAAAATAACAATAAAGGGGTTTTTTTACAATAGGATGAATGATTAAAATTAAAAGATAATTATAAGGTTAAATAAAAAAATTGTCTCCCTTAAAATATGAAGAAATGACTTATTTTAAAACAAATTCTAAATTAAAAAATGTCCATTATTCTAAAATAGAATGAGTAATATAAATATTAATTATTTTATTAATTATTAATTATTTTAAATAATCAAATTAAAATAAAAACTAAACAAATGATGTGATTATAACCACTACTTTGGTTTTTTTAAACACTAAAGTGAAACTCAAATTTCACATCTTAAACTTAAAATGAAAATGCCCTTACAAAAACAGTAAAGTGGTCGCTGGCCCACGAGGACTTCTCAATGTTCTCATAGCCACTGCCTGTTTATCACCCTTCTTCCCACGCTTTGTAATTGAACCTCGTGACAGATATTACTGCACAAATGTAGGAATGGCCAAAACCGGAACAGGAAAATTTATCGGAATTGTAAATTGGTGTCAGGCATCCAGACAAACTCTAGCTGATTTATGTAAAAGAGCTGAAAACCACAGCCCTTGCAAAAGGAACAGAGGAATTCATTTACAAATTAATTAGTGCCTATTTTCATGGTCCTCGTCCAATGTCTGATTATCTGGAATAAGCAACTAAATTAAAATAAAGATGTTATACATCCACAATGTCTCGCATATAGTGTACCAATAGTTGTATGTGTGATCCTTTGGAAAATTGTCCAAGCATCAACATCTCGAGTAAAATCCATGCTGTAGTCTTGCAAACAGAAACTCTGGATCTACTTAAATGAGAGCTTCCATACCTCTCGAACATTAGAAGATCCATCTGCAACTTCAGCAACTAGCCCCGTTGCCATTACACCTGCAGGAGAAAATAAGGCAGTTAATCAAATATTCTCCACCATGTTGAGTGACTCATATTTATACCAGCAATTAACTGCCCCAGAAAATAAACTAATTACTCGAAGTATATCGTGCACAAAGTTGAGATATATTCATCACCACATATATCCCCTCAAGACAACCAAGCTAAGATATGTGGTCTATTGATGTATGATAGGTTTTGGGGATCTGTTGACACAAGGTTTGTAGTGGTAGGACTGGTTTTGGGAAGGCCAAGGGATATTAGGGTCTAAAGTTGTAGAAAAGGGGATAGGCTTAATACAGGGTAAACATCCAATATCAGTTTGAGTCTTGGTGGCAAAGAGTAAAGTGAAATAAAGAATTAGCCTCTGCATTGATTGAAATGACAGGCTAACAAAGGGTTTAAAACTTTCTGGTTTTACACCAGTGTGCATGAATGCAGACATCCATACTACTATCCAATATATTCATATTAAAAAATGAGCCGCATTCATAAATCTAAAGACTTGCTTGCATATGTATCATTAAAACATCAAGTTTCATATGTACAAACTATATTGTATTCTTTTGTATGCTTGTATTGTACAACAATTAAGCATATAGTCTAATTTAGAAAAAGTTCCCAATCAATTGTCAGTCAAATCCCAGAAGTATAAGCTCACCATCTTTTTCTACCATAGATAGAAACTGTCGTGTTCCACCACCTACTCCAAAATAATGCTTCTTTGCTGCCAAATAGACAACTCCATGCTGGCGACTAATGCACTGCAAATTGGATTATGTTTAGATCTCAAACTACGAATTTGCCAACAATATAAGAATATTAAAATACTAGAAAAATGGAGGACCTTCTTTATAAGTTCATAGAGATTCCTTTGAGCAGATATTGAGTAAATTGTCTCTGCCATTAGAATAATATCATAACCACCGGTTTGGCCATATTCTGAGCAGGAATTCAAATCCTTTTCACTGTCGTTTACATGAGGAAGAATTTGATGAATTTGACTCCAGTCACCAGCAAAGAAACGCACTTCTGGCCTGGTATCACAATTTGCATCATCAGTTTCTGAATGCTGAGGCTTCTTCAAAAGATTCACATTAACATTTGGGATGGTCAGACATTTAAGGACCTCTGCATTGAAGTCCTGGAAATGCATAATAGCTGCACCCTGATTGAAGATAAATGTTAAAAAAACCTAATGACTTCAAATACATATGCAGTCTGCATGGTACCATAGTTATGTGGTTGTTCAGAGTTTACCTCAAGGCATGCAAATATACCAGGAAGTCCATGACCACATCCAAGCTGGAAGTAGTGAAAACCAAACTCAGAAAGTGGCAGAAGCAAAGAGAAATTTAGATATATTACATGCCCATCTGATTATAAATTCACTCAATCAAGACGTTAAAGATTTGTTCTTGAGTAGAAAAACCAGACACCCATGATAACAGTTTAAACATTAAAAATAATTTCAACATGCTCCTTGATTGACCAGTGTTAACCAGAAGTTGGAACTAATATTGCACAGTCAACTAATGAAATTTGAGCATGGCTACCATTTTTATAACATAAGTGCTGTGGAATTGCTGATGGCATACAAATCACCTGAAATTAGGAGCCCACCTCTAAGACTCGCTTTCTAGTAAATGATAGCTGCCCATTCTGAACCTCAGTGCGGAGAGCTTTAACAAGGTCCAAAGAACCTTCCCACAGCTTAAGTCCCCCTACACCCCCAAAACAAATGGAGAAAGAATCACAGAAATGAGCAGGAGTACTAGTAGATATTAAAATCAAAACAAAATAAAATGAGAGAAAAATCAAAATAAAATAAAATAAAAAAGAATGTCATTTCGGACCTTCATATACTCCAGGGACCAAATCCGAGTTAGGCAATCCAAAAACCTCCTTCGTACTCACCCGACCCTAAGGTGAAAGCCAAATGCATAATATAGTACAGCCTTTTGAACTAGAGCAAAATATATCTCAACAAAAATCAAGCTTTACAATGACTCTCCAAAATAAAGTTTTAAGAAAAATAGAATGAGGGCATTTGAGCTAAAACATAAACATGCTAAGATAACTCAATTTCAGAATAAGGGTACCACATGGACTAACTTAAAGGTCAAATCTTTATTCATTTCTTTCTGAAATCTAAAGTACAAACTGAACATGAAAATAAACTTTTGTTTGACTTCTACTGTATTTTTCTAACCATCTACAACTTAACAAAAAGGGGATACAGATATGAACTTAAAAGAGAATGAAAAAAACTGACCTTCAGCAAAGTTAATCCATCCAAGTTCACAGGGTCGACAGTGAATTTCACGGATGAAGAAACCTGGTTTCCAGTTGGAAACGATGAATGGAAACAATTAATTCACAGACCAATGTAAAAGCTCAAAATATCCACTATAAAGTAGGACTGAAACCCGTACCTCTGAGGAAAATACTTCGATGGAGGGAGGAGGAGGAGGAAGTGGCGGCTCCGACGAATCGAGGAACCCTAAACCTAAAGTGGGTTTGTCGTCCGATGACGAGAACAGCTGAAACGTTGAGTTTGTTGCCATTGCCGTCAGCCACTTCGGTAGTTCGAGTGCAGAGTTTTATTAGGAGGTTTTTCTCTTTTTAGACGATTTTGCAGAAGAGGAAGAAGGCGAACGAGCACGGTTCGGTTTTGGTTCCGAACTATCGGTTAAACCGAATTTTTGGTTATTAATTTTTAGAAACCATTAATCAAACCAAAAAGTTTGGATTTATTGAATTTGGTTAATTGTTTTTATGATTATAACTATTTGATTTTAACTGAAAAGTTATTCTTATATTTTTTTTAATAATTAAATTCAAAAATATAATAATTAATTAAAATAAAAATATATGACATT